CAAGGTACCCCGAGTCCAGGCTGGGGGACGTGGCTGTCACTGACAGAGCACCAGGGATTTCCCCACACACAGTCTCGACCCTCGCTGTCCTTTGGGGTTTTTCTGAGTCCCCCGACCTCAGTTTTGCATGTGGGATTCTGCATCCTGAGGATGATGTGAACCTTCCTCACTGGATTCGAGAGCCAGAGGGGGTAGACTGCAAAGCTCTCAGTGTAGGGAATTGGGGCTACAGGCGAGCAGGCTCCTGCCAGGGCTGAGATGATCCCACCACCAGGGCTCCCCAAGTTCTCTGCACCGCCACCAACTCGCCATGGGCCTGGTGGAGGCAGCAGCTCAATATCGTCGAGGCTCAGCTTCCTCAGCACAAAAGGGCAAGGGGCCTGGCAGTTTCCTGGCACTTGCCAAGTGTCTGATGGATAAGAAAGCCGCCTGTGACTCTCAAAGTCTGCCCAGGGCATAGCCGAGCCTGAGGTCCGCTCTGGCATGTCTGGATGGTCTCACGGCCTGGGTAGGGCATGCCATGTTGAAGTACCTAGCTCCCAACCTGGGCCAAGTGGGGTCCCAGGTCAGAGCTAGGACAGAGCCAGGCCATCTAAGATTGAATCAGGTCTCTACTGCCTACTGGTTATGTCGTTGGGTGGATCACTTTATCTGAGTCTTGACTTCCTCAGCCAGAAAACTGGGCTAAAAATTGTCTCCAATCCAGAAGATGTTGTAGGCTTGAGTGAAGTGTTAACAGTTAAGGAGACTGAGGCTCCGAGAGTTGGAAGCCAAGCTGAGCCAAGGCCAGGGCTGTCTGACACCCTCCACCAACCCCTCTGAGTTCTCCCTCATATTGTGTAGAGACAGGCGGAGGAAAGGAAATACCTGAAATCCACACACTCTCCTTGCCAGACTTTGCCACACCTGTGTCTAGGCACAGACCAGCATGTGCCCACCACCAACACAAGCTTCTCATTCACAAAAGGTGCCCAAGGGCCTACTTGGCGCAACAGTGCTGCTAACTTTTGACTCTGATGGTAATTATCATTATAGAGAGAAACTCAATAAATTGGTCTATGTCCTTAAGAAAATCACCCCTCTTATTCCCTGTGCCTCAAATTCCATTGTCTTTTAAATGGGTGTAAAGTCTTACCTAACTTGGGTGAAGTTGAAATGTACATAAATAAATAAAGGAGGTAGTGCTGTCCATTGCCACCAATGGGCAGCTCAGGCCAATGAAAGAACCCAGTACTCTTGGACTCTTCCAACCAAGCTGCACTTTTATCATAGCTAATATGAGCACTTCCTGAAGTTCTGTGCTAGCAGCCTGACATGGAGGATCTCATTTAATTCTTGCAAAAACCCTGAGATAGGATATCATTTTACCTATTGTACATATGGGGAAACTGAGGCTAATGGGCTTACTGACTTCCCTAAGGCCACCCAGGAAGTCCTTGGGAGTCTCTGAACTGGGGTCTAGCCTTACTCAGACCTTCCACCACAGTGTCCCCTCCACCTGCCCCAACACACACAGAGTGTGCACGCACACAGACACACAAATACACACTCACACACACATGGAGCAGTCCACTCACTGGAGTCATGACCAACCCCAGCCTTGGCTCTTTCCCATGAGACTGAAGATGGGGTAGATGAGGAAATAATATTAAGCACATACTATGTTACAGGTGCCCCCCATGTATTCACAGCCACCTGGCGATGTAGGGATTGTTACTCCATTTAACAGTTGATGAGACTGAGGCTCCAAGAGTAGAAAGCCAAGCTAAGCCAAGGCCAGGGCTGTCTGACACCCTTCACCAACCCCTCTGAGTTCTCCCTTGTGTGGTGTCTGTGCCTTTTCCTTGTCCCTCCCCCTAGAGTCTGAGGTTCTCTGACAGAAACAGCATGAGAATGTTCTCCTGTCTGGTTCCCAACAGAGTCAGAAGAGAGAACTGGGAAGAGTTGAATTCCTATTGCTGTGTGTGTGTGTGTGTGTGTGTGTGTATGCAAGATTTGCAATGTTCCCACACCCACCCCCACGTCCCCATCTGGGCTTCCCCTCTGCGGCAGCATGATACTCCGTGAGCAAGAATCTGATCATGTCCTCCTCTCACCAATAATGGGTGCCCTCTGTCCTCTCAACAGCCCCCTGTCTGGTCTCTTTGGCTCCAACCACCTGTATGGACTGGGGCAGGTCCCTCTCCTTGCAATCTGTACTCCCTAAAGCTCTGTCTTCCTCTGGGGATGATGCCCAGGTCAGGCTTGTACTCAGAGCCTCTTCAGATTTTTATATTTCCAGAACCTCCTTCTACTTGTCTTTCTAGCTTGCTCACCCAAGAAAGGTCTGGGGCAACCCCAGCAGCACCCCAAGCTTGCCTTGGCTTTCAGGGAGAGGAGACACTTTGCTAAGATGAATAGGAATACAGTTCAGACTTGGCCTCCTTGGTAACCAAGGCCCCCCAGACACCACCCCTCACTCCTCTTTTCTGCCCCCTCCACACTCAGCTCATTGGTCGTAAGCATTTCCCCTGCCACACCTTTCCCCATGCTGTTCCCCTTACCTGGCCTGCCCTCCCGACCCCTCCCAACCCCTCCTACCCCTGTCCAAGGAAAGCAGCCCAGTACGATGGAGAAGAGGGCAGGCTCTGAGGCCAGGCAGGCAGCTGTGGATTCAAATCTGACTTGGCCACTTTCTAATCATGTGACTTGGAGCATGTGTTTTAATCTCCCTGTAAACAGAAAGAGTAACACCTCCTCCCTGGGTTATAGTGAGGATTAAATAACAAAACCTCTGAGCAGCAGAGCCCAGTGCCTGGTGAGTGCTCAACGAACATAGTTACTACTATTAGCACAGCGCGGGGCACACGGTGGGCATTCAGTCATGGTAGCCCTTGTGTCACGGCCAACACTCGAACTGTGAGTCCTCTCTCCTCCCTCAACTCTAGAAATGAGGTTCCCAATCTCCACCCAGCATCTTCCCTGTCAGCACAACCCCAACTTCTTGTTCCCCTTCTGCCCGCCCCTGCATCCCAGGCTCCAGCCACTCTGAACCCCCCTCACTTGGTTTCCTGCTTACTTACACCTTAGCTTGTGCTCAGCCTCCCTTCTGCCTAGAGCATCCTCCCCGCCTGCGCATCCTTCCTGTGGGGATTCCCACCCAACCGCTGAGGCTGAGCCCTTATGTGCCTCCTCCCTCAGTGAGAACCAGCTTCACAGCCCCTGATAATTCTCTGATCCTAGCACACAGGAAGCCATGCTGTCACTGGGTAATTTGGCCTGTCATCCACTAGACTGTGAACTCTACCAGGCAAGGAACTAGGTCTGACTGTCTCTGTGTCCCCAGATTCCACTTGGCAAGGAGTCCAGCCCACAGTGGGTATCAACAGATGTTGGTCCCAGCCTGCCGCCCACCCATCACTCACTGTGGGCTGGAGGCACTGTGAGCATGCGGGACACGCGGGATTTGTGAAGGCAGCTGAGCAGCAAGGTTTATAGAAGAACCCAGAGCAGCAGCAGGGAGATTATCTGAAAGTGGGTTGGCAGGCTCAGGCACAGCCAGCCTAAGGTAGGGGTCAGGGGCCCAGGGCCCCTTCACTCCCCCAGGGGCACAGTGTAGGCGGCATGGTGTGGGATGCCCCAGGAAGGGCTAAGGTATAGGGGTGGGCCTCCCTCCATCAGCCCAGGACAGAGCTGGTGCTGAGGCATCATTCTGACTGGGGCAGGAGTCCCAGGGACCCCTTTCAGAGCCAGAGTTAAGAGGGGAAGGGCACAGCCCATCCAACGCATCCATCTGGTGTGGCTATACGCCAGCAGGTAGAGTCCCACATGCAGAGCTCCCTCTGGGCTGCAGGAGGTGGGGGACCTGGGTAGGCAGGCGGGCATGGCAGCAGGGGACCCCAGGGAGTCTAGTCCAGTGGCCCCTGGAAAATGAGGCGGACACAGCCATGCTCGCCAGTGAGCCAGGCCCCACAAAAGGGGCAGGCAGCATGGAAGGCGTGGGTGCCATGGGGCAGTGGTGTCTGAGCCCAATAGCGGGCAGTCTTCTCAGAGCAGACATGGCCGCAGGGTGCAAAGGCGTGGCTGGGCGGCCCGGGGTCCAGGCAGAGGCCAGCCTCCTGGCCGAGCCACAGGGGCACGTAGGGGCCCACGAGGCGGCAGAGAGGACACTCGCGCTCCTGGGGGCCCCGCTCTC